GCCTGCGAGGCTGCGGCTTGGCCTCCCCACCGTCCCAGGCCCCCACCCCACGGCCGAGGCCGGCACAGCGCTGCTAGGAGGTGGAAGCTCCAGCCCAGGCCTGGGCCGCACCTGGTGGCCACCCCCCACAGGGGCCTGGCTGTCTCTGGTTCCTGCCGCGTGGCTTCTCAGCCGCCCTGCTCGGAGTTTGCTGCGGGCCCAGGCTCAGGTGGACGGCAGGGCTGCACAGGGCAGGGCGTGGCCCCGGGAGGCCGGCACCATGCTTCAGCGGATCCTGCAGGACATGTCCGTGGACCCCGTGCTCCTGGCCGAGCTCAGCGAGGAGCAGAGGCACACCCTCTTCTACAGGATGCGGGCGGAGCAGCTGCGGCGCTGGTGGGAGCGGGAGGCTGGGGAGGCCACGGCCCAGGAGCCCTGCAGGCCCCCGAAGGCCCGGCGAGGTATGTGCTGGAGCCCAGGAGGCTGGTGGACTCGGGCGAGCACTCGCGTGGTGGGGCTGCTGTCTCAGGGCCAGGAGTGCGGGGCCCTGGGGCCTGGCGGGGGTCACTGGGGACTCGCTTGTCCCGTCGCTGGGGGGGAACACCCCTGTGACCTCGGAGTGTGCTCAGACGGCTGGCCAGTGCATGGTGAGCACGGCTGTTCCTGCCCTTAACGCTGGTCCTGGCCATCTCTCTGTCCCTCACATGCGGGTGTTCTTGGCTGGGCCACAGGGGCGAGCCACCCCCTCATGTCCTCATCGGGAGGGTGCTCTGCTTTGGACCTGGAGCCCACTGGACATCCAGAGAGGTGCTGGGATGACCCCCGTGGTGGCTGCCCAGCAGGGGGCCACGCACAGCTGTGTGCCGGCCCAGCCAGGCACTGGTGCTCAGTGGAGGGGGTGGGTGTTCAGACCCTGGCTGGATGTGGGCAGCTGAGGCGGCTGTGGCCCAGGACACACGGTGCTGCTGGGGAGGCCGGTCTGGAAAGCGCATGCCCCTGACCGCCAGGCCCTCACCATCGCGTGTTCAAACACCACGGCCCTCCTCCTGCCTCCGTGTGGTTCACCAGAGGGACGTGGACGTAGAGCCTCAGTCTAGGACAGTCAGGCCAGGGGGTGGGGCTCCCTCGGGGACCTGGCTCACGCGGCCAGGCCACACTCGCCGCCCAGCATGTTTGCCTCATCGGCCTTCCTGACACACTCCCCAGGGCCACGCTGCCTCTGGCATCTGGGGACTCCCGGCAGGGGAGGCGGGTGCTCCTCTGCGGCTGCCTGACACCTCACCTGCTGGCCGGGCTCTCCCCGAGGCCTGGAAGCTGCATGCCTTGTCAGGTCTCTCCTGGAGCCAGCAGTGTCAGCCCTGCTTTGAATAGGACACAGCAGGACTCGGGCAGGTGAGGACAGGGCTGTGGCTAGTGACAAAGGGGGCCTTTGGGCCTGCTGCTCTGGCCGCTGTGTCACTGGTGGTGAGAGCTATGAGCCGCTTTCCGGCCCACCAGCCTGAGCCCGTGCGTGGCTCTTTGGGGAGGATAACAGACGCCTAAAGGCGTCACTGCGTGTCCGTCTGGGACCTGCCACTCACTGGCGGCAGCAGCTCTGTGCAGATTATACACCCAGCTCCCCGGAGCTTCTGCTGGGGACTCGTTCCTGGGCAGTAGTTTTCTGATTCATAAAGAACCGGAAGGGGGACTCATGCGCGTCCCCGGTCAGAGTCCGTCCCCACCCCAGTTCCTGCTTCGTCCTGCCTGGCAGTGTGGCCGCCTGGGACGGCAGTGTGCTTTCGGGGAGGGTCCAGGCTACAGCGTCTGTCCACACCTTGGATCCTGGAGCTGTCGTGGCAGCCCACGGGGTCCGTGGACCTCAGGATCCAGGTTCCTCCGGATCACCACAGGAGACAGGGCCTGTCCCAGATGACGCCGAGGCCCTCGGGGTCGCCCAGCTGCGCTGCGTGGAGGGGCGCACGCCCATGACTGACTGGGTCCGGTGATGGCGTCTCCTCACTTGCTCCCTCTGGACTCTGGGCTCGGGGTGAGCGGGCGATCTCTGTCCACGAGTCATCACGCACCACCCTGTCCACGGTGCTCGGTGCCAACGTCGGGGAATGGCAGAGCTTGGGCCCTGAGACGGCAGGTGCGGGGGGCAAGGTCGGTGCGAGGCACCGCGGGTGGGGACAGGGCGCGGCATGGTCTTCGTGCCCTCGTGACAGACGCCTGTTCGGCCTGGTGTGCGGGGACCCCGGGGGCCGAGCGTGACTTTGATTAGTTCTGGTCAGCGGGATGACACCTGCCTCCCCTGCCTCTTGTCCCTGTCCTGCCGTCCTCGAAGGCCTTCCTCCCACCCTCTCCGTCTGGGAATGTTTCTGGTTCCTAGTAGGCCTGACTGTGCTGTCCCTAGGGTTCATGTGACACTCTGGTGGCCGCACAGGGCAGGCAGGACACTATGTGCTCGTCCCTGAGAACTCAAAGCCCTCAGGCTGTGCCCGGTGAGGGGGCACACCAGCGACCAGGCCGGCCTCCCTTCACAGCCCAAGATCTTCTGACCGGGCCAGGGACCAACGACCAGGGCCTGGCTGGGGCGGAAGCCTCGAGGCTGGGGAAGGTGGGAGGCCAGGCAGCAGGGCGAGGCTCTTGAGGGGTTCACTGCGGTGCAGACCCTGCTCGGTCTCCACGTGTCTGACCAAGTTCACGCCGGGAGGCATGTTGTGGAGACCCGGGAGGACACTGGCAGCGTGTGCCCTCGGCTACCTGTGCAGCGCCCAGCCGTGAGTGTCTGCGTGTGCAGTGGCCGCGCCGTGCTGGGGTGCGGGCTCCACTCGGGCTGTGCTTGTAGCTGTCCACTTTCTCCTCAGCCCTGCCCCCTGGGCTTTCACCAGGGCTTCCTCGCAGGGCGTGAGGTTCGTGCCGGGCGATGGCCGCTCTGCCCCACCCACTCTGCCGAGTCCCACATCCCACATGCCCTCAGCCTGCCCACATTCCCGCCATCGCTGAGGCCAGGGGAGCTGCAGCCATCAGGGCTGTGCTCCCACCACCCCTGAGGCACAGCCCTGGCCTGGCCAGGGAGTAGCCCCCGTCAGTGCCCTCCGTGTCCAGCTGGGCAGCACCCCCATGCCCGTGGCAGCTCAGATAGCAGCCCCCAGCCGGGCACCTGCCTTCCCCACCTCCTGGGGCCGCCGGCCACCATGCCGCCCCTCGGGTGTGAAGGTCCCTCGCCCCACCCAAGGGAGTCCCGTGCTTTGGGCCGTCCAGTGCCCCCAGCCAGCTCGTGTCCTGCAACCTTTTGTCCACCCCTGCCTCGTGGCCCCTTCTCCACAAAGAGCCAGCACCCGCCCCTCTCCGATGAATTCCCAGCCATCATGCCCCTCCCTGGACCACTGTCCCCAACCCTCACGGGGCTGAGCCTCTCTCCAGTCGGTCTCAGATGTGGAGTCCACTGAGCAGCCCCGGAGCTCCAGCCCGGCCCCTGCCCCTCCGGCACCTTCACCCCAATTCGCTGCTGGGGCTCCTGCCCTGCCCTCACCCTCGCCCTGCACAGCCTCCCCAGAGGGTGGTCCCTGGGGCTGCAGAGACTCCGCTCCAGGTGGCAGCACCACATGACAACACGCTGGCCAGGCCTGGAAGTGCATCTTACCGGGGTGGTAAAGCACCCAAGAGAGGGCTGTGGCCAGCACCTCAGTGCCGAGCGTGCCCCAGCCGGTCCAGGCCCAGAGCACTGTCCCCCCGGAGGAGGTGGCCTGTCTGTCAGCAGCTCTCCTGTCCTTCCCTCACAGCCACAGCTCTGCTCTTTCTGTGGGGTGCCGGTGCCCCTGTCCCCTCCCATCCCCCGTGTCACCCCCTTTCTTTTCGGCATTCCAGTTCTGCCCAGAACGTGGAAGGCGGCTTAGGTCCAGGTTGGAGGGAGACACGTGTGTCCCAGACAGTGTGGAGCCACAGTCCCATCATCCTGCTCATGCTCATCCGGATGGCGTGTACGCACACGCATACGTGCACACGCACACATGCACACCCGGCGTGTTCTTCATGCTGCCAGGCCGGCCCTTGGGCAGGCAGCCGCGCGGGATCCTGCCCATGGCATGGGACTTAACTGCCGGGCAGTGCCGGGCACCCCCCCGCCCGGTGCCATTTTGTTTTAGGAAACTCTTCAGTAATGCTATTCTGAAACCGATGTTGGCAGGCGGACTCAAGCACTCTTCCTGTCTGTCAGGGGTTAAGCTGCTGGAGGTGAGAAGCAGCTCCCTTCGCACTCTGCCCGTGGGCTGGCGGTGCAGCCCAGCCCGGCGGCTCGGCGGTCAGTGGTTGCTCATCTCTGTGCCTCAGGACCCGTCGCAGCAGGGCTGTCGTCCGTCCCTGTCTCCCTCTGCCCCGCTGAGCAGGGCACGTGGCCCCTCAAGCACCTAGGACCGTGCCAAGGGTCTGTGATGGGCACTGAGACTAGGAGCCCCCCGCGAGGCCACCCCCGCCCCTCTGCTGTCGCCTTGAGTGGCGCCACTGGCGGGGCGGGGCGGGTCCCCCCGCCTTCACTGGTCCCCCACTCCTTCACCTTTTCCTGCCTCTCCAGCGGGACGCGCGAGCGGGTCGTGGCCTGACAGCTGACTGGCCGTCTGTGGCCCTTGCTCTGGCCCCCTTCCTGGGCTCAGGGAGCGGTGGATGGCGCAGCAGGGGCTCCTCCTGAGTCCCCCAGAGCCCACTGCCCACAGCAGTGCCACCTCAGTCCACATGTGGACACTCAGGAGCTCTCTCGGCAGCGCATGTCATTTTCAGGAACCATGTGCTGAGCAGCAAGGAGGTGGCCTCTGGGCGGCCAGCCTTCCCAGCCCTGGCAGGAGAGGATGCGCCCCCCTCCCCAGCTGTCCATCCTGTCAGGATTCGGGGCGTGCATGCACACGTGCCTGGCGTGGGTTTCAGGCTACAGGGGCTGAGGTTTGAGCTGTGGTTGTTCATGTGGGATCTGGTTCCCCTAACCACTAGGCAACAGGGCTGGCCCCTCTCAAATGTTCTTTCATTACTTCAGGATCATATTTTGTTTGGGCTTTCTTGTCTTGGTCTTTAGTAATCTGTAGTGAGTCTTCATCACGGGAGAAGCGGGAGGAGGAGCCACCGTGTGGTAGAGGAACAGGCAGTGGAACCCCAGCACTGCTTGGGCCCCGGCCCCACTTCTACTCTTGCCAAAGAAGCCCAGAAATCTAGTCGCAGCTCTCCGTGGTCCTTGGGAGCTGCAAGCCTTCCTGCTCTGCTGCTCTGCTGTGGCTTACAGAGGGGTGGGGGCGGTCTGCAGGGACTCACTGGGCCCCATGACAGCTGTGGGCAGAGCCTATGCCGAGGACTGCCCTGGTGTGACAGTGTGGCTGGGCGTGGGCCCCTCCTGGGAAAGGCAGTGGAACCGAGGCGGGGTCTCTGAGCCACGTGGGGCTCACTGTGGTCTGGGGAGTGGAGGGCCAGACCTTTCTGCTGCGCCCCTGGCCCGGGG